GAAGGCTTTTCCACTCTACTGCCACTCAATAGAAAAATAAATGTTGTAGGAATTTGCTGGAAGTCATACATTTATGCCCATATAAGCTTCTCTAGTACATAATAAAGGAGTTAAGAGTCTCCTGAAGTGCTGTTCTGGTTTAAAGTGGATTGTATGCAAACTATAGTTTCAGACAGAAGCACAAGTTATAATTCTTATTCTGTTTTGACAGCACTGGTTTGTCACACCATATCCACCTGAGATTTTAAAAGTCCCCAAACTGAACATCAAGAGTACATTCAGTTTGAAATTTAATGTGACTCAGAATCAAACCTCTTTTCTTATCATATTCAAGTCTGATGAAATACAGAGTCATTTCCAGACTTAGAATATTAATCAAATAGCACTCTGCTTATGTGCTATCAGTACCTGGCCCTGGATGGAAATAAACCACTCAGTTGTGTGCCATTTTTCCTGAACAGGTTCACAGAGAGTCATCAGAAATTCCACCAGGAAAGATTTTGCCAGGCTGTGACTGGGGACTGTCAGCCAGGTGATCAACATACAATTTTTTAATTAATATTTACCACTTCTTAATAAGAGAAGAATGCACTAATCTTTAGTAATGTTTTAATTCAAGCAGGTCTTATTGCTATCCAACATAATTGGTAGATAAGATGTAAGAAACCTCTGCAAGAAGAAATGCTGCACTGTGCTCTTCACTAATCTCCATTTATGCCACTCAGACTTAAATTCTTTGCTCTATAATAAACTGCATTTATATTTTACATTATTTCCAGAGACAAGTTAAATTATATCATGGATTCTAATTTTACAACATTTTGAAGAGGAAAAACTATGCATGTAAATATATTCCTTCTGCTGAAAGGTCTGTTACCTTCTCCTAAGCAATTTCTGAATTGCTTTACCTTTCCATGGCAAAGAGTTCAAAAATTTCTTAGGGGAAGGTAAAGGAATTTCTTCTTCTTTCTTCTTCACTGTTTTTTCACATCTCCTTGCAGAATAAATCCCATGGAAAACGTTTGAATGTATTGGGAATTGAAACTTGATTTCAGTGACATAATGGGATTCACCTTCAGGAAATGGTTTGCATCAATCTTCCACAGGAGATTTAGTGAGACAAGAAATTGAGTGGGGTCTTTTTCAGGTTACAACATATGGAATGGCCCAGAAGATTAGCAAACTACCATTGTATTGGCTGAATCTGTCAGGGACATATTGGCCCAAGCTCAGGCAGAAATAAACCCAGCATCACCTGGGCTTTTCTGCTTGAGAAATAGCAGCAAAAATCAAGAATGCAAGAGGCATTTCTCACTTTATCATTCATGTTGCTTCTAAACCTCTGCTGCTTCCTGTCCACTTTTCTGGAGGTAGGGAACTTTAAGAGTGCCTTATCCACCTGCACTGACCCATATCCTTCAGGACTGTGAATTCCATCAGTGTATGATCACTGCAGCCCAGGCTGCCTCCAACTACCTTGCACTGCTCACCGTCAGGTCCAGTTTTGCAAGCCCCCTGGTAGGGCTGTTCTATTACCTGGCTCAAGAAGATATACAAAGTAATTTCCAGGAGTTCTCTGGGTTGCCTACAGCTTTCTGTGCTGCTTTTCCATCAGATGTCAGAGTGGTTGAAGTTCCCCAGCAGGATGAGAGCCTGTGAGTGTGATGCCTTCTGTACCTGGAATAAGAAGGTTTCTTCAATAGCCTCTCCTCGAATACATAGTGAATACATAGTGAATCCAGAAAGCTCAGAAATTAGAGGTTCAGAGCTGTTTGGAAGAAGAAAAATGTTTTAAAAAATAAGAACTGCCATCATCAAGCAAAGCATGACACACAGCTTGAGGCACTGAGTATTCCTGCCTCACCAACACGGAGAGCTTCTTTTCCCTGAACCAAAAAAAACCAAGGTTGGAAAGCAGTAGTCACTTATCAGAATGGTTAAATATCTGAAGCAAAAATAGTGCATTTAAGTTTAGAATACAGTACACAAGAGAATTTCTGTCCCATTACTGACTTGACACAATCTTCTGGAAAGAAGGAGGAGTTTTGATTAAGGTGCTTAGGATCCAAGTGGGCTGACACAAACTCACCTAAAGGCTGGTGTCCTTCAACCACTAGTGTTATTCTGTGGGATTAAACCGAGCAGGTTTCTGGCTGTAAATCAAAATTTCTCTCCCTCCAAAGAGGGAGAGAAAAAAAAGGGCAAAAAGTATTTTCAAAAGTATTAACACATTTTTGCACTAAAAAAAATTGTTAAAAATACAGTCAACCTTGAAAAAGACCCCACAGAAACAAAAAAGCTTTTTAAAACCTCTGGTTATGAGAAATTATGAACTGAATACTTATTTCACAGTTAAAAGTAAATATTTTCTGAGACTGTTTTCAAATTGAACAAATAGCATTTTATAAAACCTTGCTCAATATATTTGCATTATATTTTCATGTATCTAACCCAAATACAATGATGCGAATCATTTAAAATAAGGATCCTTTTCAGTATAGAGCAAAAACTGACACTTAGCTTTATGGGGGATTTCAGAACAGATCACAGGATTTAAATGATAGGTCAACATATCTTATTTAGAACAATCAGGGAAACCAAAAGAATTGTATCAAGAAAAACTGCACTAAAAATTACAGAAAGCTCTTTAGGTGTCCTAAATGTCTCTGTGGGATCATTTTCTGAGTGCATCACAACATGGAAATGAGAAAATGTTGAATTTAGGAATGTGCTGGCTTGGTGAATTGATGTTATGAGAGCACATACTGTCAGTATGGACACTTGGACCACAAAGAGGTTGGGTAGCAGACAAGAGAGAGTGGCAAATCAAAACAGAGTCAGAGTCTAAACAAGACAAATCAGACAGCCCATTAGAATCTAAAAGTTTCTTTGAAAACTATTTCCTTACAGTCAGAAAACTGATTAAATGAAATTTATCCAGAAAATACTTTGTTTCCACAGCAGAAGCTGTAGCTGACATTTATCCTGTTCAAGATTAGCAACCAAAAATATAATCCTTTGGCACAGTTTCTTTATCATTTCATTCATTAGCTGTTGAAGGTAATTGGTCGATTAGTAGTGCCAGATGGGATTCCAGTGGGGAAGAGGAAGATAATTCTTCTTTTATTTATTTCTGCAAAGATGTGTGTGAATGTTAGAATCATGATCCCTATTAAAAAATACAGATGTCTTTCTATAGACTTGTCTCCTTGGCAGAGTCTATGAGAATTTATTTGTAGTTAGGAACAGTGACTCAGGTTGTTGTCTTCTATCTTTTCAATGTTAACACTCTAGCTACTTGTCACCATCATTTTGAACCCAAATACAGAAACATTGAATAAGATTTATCGGCTGCGTCCTGTCAATCCTTCCCTACTGGAGCTTTTATATCTTCTTTGGATTATTCATGTTAAATTAAATGTGGTGTTGAAAAAGAATATTATTTCAGGAAAAAAAATACCACATCTAGAAAAAAGGAATAATACTTTTGAAATTTGCATTCATGCAGAAACAAATGGATGGCATTTTCTAGACTGAGCTATTGAATAATACCAGGGGGGAAATACCTATCTTCAGAAAGTAATGTAAAATTTTTCAAACTAGCTATTGCTGATTTTTTTGTCAATCAGCTGCCATCAGGATACAGAGCACATTGTGATAGAGCAGTAAATGATCTGCAGCTATTTACTATGAAGCATTAGGTCTTCCATTAGCTTCCAAAGTTTTCTAACATTTGAGATGAGTCCTTTCATGTTCAGTTCAAGCAGGAGTGTCAGTAAGGCTTTGGAGATGCCCTGATATGCCTGAGATGCTCACAATGTTCTGGGAGTAGAAGCCAGGAAAGAACTCTCCGGACACCCCAAGGCATCTCAGGTAGCACAAGAAACCTTTCTTTAGACAACAGATAAAAACCTCTGCAGTCCTTGGGCAATAATGTGTGAATCACCCTTGGGCTGCTACTGGATGCTCACTGATACAGCAATGAATTCTTTATGGTCATTTGAATTCCTAGCCGCTCATGCTGTGTTTGTGAAAATTACAATTTCTTTTGTGGCAATTCACTGAAAGTCACTGCCTGACAAGTAATTCACATATTTCTTTATGCAGGCATGCGAGCTGTCTGTTGAAACAGGCTTTGAATTTCTCCATCTAATCCAAATTATTTTAATAATTACCTCTCACTCAACTTTTTATATTTAATTTATATTTTAGCTTCATCCTCATGTCACTCAAATGTTTCCTTCAAAGACCAAATACCTTGCTAGCAAAAGACTATTTTTTCTTCTTCCTCAAGCTGTAATGTTCTTTAGGTATTTTCATAATCTGATGTTCTGTAGCTAATGGTCATTTACATATCTGCAAGGATTGTAGTAGGGAATTCAACAGAGCTTGCAGCTAAGGCATCCATTTCCTTCAATCAAGATGGAAAGGAAATTGCTTGTGGGATAAGGTCTATTGCCGATCCTCAGAGCCATGCCAAATACATGCTGAAAGTAAATGGTCACCTAATTTTGATGTATTCCCTCATTTGTTATATCCGATACCCTGCTCACAGCAGCCTGGGAAGGTTAGAGGCCACCTGTCAAGTAAAGAGGCTGATAATTGCTGCTGTATTATGCTGAAGGAGCCACTGGGGCTGAGCTCTGAGTGGGCACGGCGGGCCATGTGCCTCCCTGGTGTAGCCCAGCTGCCATGTTCATTGGCTGAGGGGAATGTCTCATCTGCCATCCGTGGTGATAATCACAGATGGGGAAATTTGTGTTACTAATAAAGAAATTATAAGAGGAATATATGCCATTTATTAAATGTGTCAGTTTAAAAGGCAGCAGATATTACAGTAATACATCATTTCTTGACCCCAAAGTCTATTACTGTGCAGGCTAAGAAAAGACATTTCTATTCCCTTAGGCTTTCATAGCACTGAGCCATTGATTTAACATTAAATGTGATTAGTTAGCATTTTGCTTCTTTCATGTGGCTTGCTGCCAAAAGAAATTTAATTTTTGTGCTTAAAGTGAAGCAAATCAAACTCCTGCCCCACATACTGAAAAATCAGCTGTATATAAGATTAGCTGTATATAAGAATACCTTAATTCTTCGTTTCTATGCTAGATTATTCTAGCGTTAAATTAACGTTGCATTGTGAGGGAACAATTGCATCTTCTCTCTTGGTTCTCAGAAAGGAGCTGTATCATGGGATCTAGAGAAATTAAGTTATTTTTTTTCCGAAGTGATTTATGACCGTGTGTATGTCTCAGGTAGTGGATTCAGCTGTTTGTGATCCCAGGCATAAATTTTACATCACGAGTGCATAGATAACCTCCTCCACCTTACCTGGTGGACAGCCTTTGAAGTGGCTCGTGGTTGGCTAGAGTGAAGCAGTGGCTATTTGGCTTATTTGTGGAAGCCTGTTCTGTGGAAGATAAAGTCATACCTTCTTATCCCTGAGAAATCTTATAAATGGATAGGCCCATTCCCTCACTTGCTTTATCAACATCCTGAGAACAAATGAGGTTATGGATCTTGGAATTAATGTTGGGGAAAGCAGCACTGAAGTGAAAAAAAAAAAAAAAAAAGCCTTCACTGATAGATTTTGCTATCACTAAATTACTGTTTTGAGCAAACCCTGCATCAACCAGAGCTTTCATTCCAAGTTGACAGCCAGGATTTGATGTGAAGCCATCTATCCCAGGAATATGATATGTATCTAATTTTCAGGATGAGATGATACTATCTTTGGGAAGGAGATTGTGATCTTAGGTAACGCATTCTTTGATTTTGGGTGAGTTTTCTACAGCCAGGGTGAGAGGAAGCAAAAAGGAACAAGAAAAAAGTATTTGTGCACTTGTGCACATGTTGACGTATGTATAAGGTGGTTTTACTTACCTATTTGACTTTAAAGTTACCTCAATGTCTTGCTACAGGTTCTGTACCAGATTTGTCTTCTTATTTTGGTGCCATTTGGCACTTAAAATGGTCTTAGACACAGAAATAGTTATAAAAAACTTCCTAGCCAGATTTGATTTCAAATGGACCTTGGCCTTCCTTGTATTTTTGCATTCTCTGACAACAACCCTATCTTCATCCCAAGTGTTCCATGCTTGCTTCCACCTCATTTGTCAGGAGTTCATTATTCAGCTGGGCAGGCCTCCTGTCCCTTTGGGTCACTTGCTTGCCCATGGGGATGCACCATCCTGAACTTCTGTATAACACCTGTTTCAAAACATGAAGGCAGGCTTAGAGTAGCAGAAACTCAGAAAGAAGCCAAGAAAATATATTGTGCATTTCATTAGCAGATATTAAAACTTCACTGATGTTATTCCTGCATTTTTTTCATACTCTGGTAATCATTGTTTTTCTCACAGACACATATATAGATATGAAAATAACCAGAGTATCTGGTATTTTGTTTTAAAGTTTTTATGCACAGTGTGCAGTGGAACGTGCTGACATGAGTGTGGCTCTGACATTCACACTGTGCAAAAACATGACAAGCTATTACACCCCTCACAGTCACAGCCTGCTTTGTCTTTAAAATGATGATGATAATCCTCCTTTCCCATTCTGAGCCTTTCTGATTTAGGCAATAAATTTTTTTTTGGATATAGACTACCCATTAATTTGTGCTTGTTCAACACTGCCATCTCCACTGAGACCCACAGAGACTGCCACATTTCTAACAAACAACAATCATGAGACAACATATACTAGGCTTGTACTGACAAATACACACCTTCATTCGTATTCCTTACAAGTAATGCATATTATTATGTGTTTATCATGCCAGTAGCACATCTAAAATATGCTTCATGCCAGAATTATACAGATAAGACCTTTACATCAGTTTTCAAAAGTCATATGTTTTATTGAGATAGATGGAAAAACTGTTGTCTTTGTTTTTGAATTTGTCACGACAGTTTATGAGTTAATTCCTGTATTGTATGAAATCTTTTCCTGGGAAGTGGGCATTAAAGAACCAGGCAGGTGGCATTTTACAGAGCTATAGGATTCAGCAGCTGACCCTACAGTCAAATGAGAGATGAGAGCAGCAAAAAGGTTGCTCTTCTTTCTCAGTATTATAAATGGATAGAGTTATTCTCTACATGTGAAATTTCCTTCAATCCAGGGAGCAAATCAGATTAGAGGCTAGAATAATTCTTTCTGGATGAAATCACATTCTGTCCTTAGAAATTCTATGTGATGGATTTTTGCTGCTGGATGCTGCTGTACACAGACATTCAGCTCCGATACCATTTTAGGGGAGGAATTTAAAGGCTAAAGCATTAGAAGATGGTGTTGCACTGATAGAGCCCACCTGTTCTTTCCAAAACTGCTTCTCTAGTACAAGATTAAAGCCAGGGGAAAAAGACAATGAAGCTTCAATAATAACTCCACTTAATAACAAGTTAAGAAAGCAATCATCTTAAAGGATTTGTTTTTTCGTTTTTTGTTTATCCCATGGAAGAAAGTAAAAAAAAAAACAGGCTGAGTTTTCAGGACAGTAAGTTGGAGAGCTTAGGCAGACTTTGGAAAACCAAGGCATGGACAAGTTTTGCCCTCTGTTGAAAGGATTTTCTTTTTAATATTACTCATTATTCTCCTTTGAGAAGGAAGAAAAAGGCCTCAAATTTTGCTACATTAATAGTCCCAGCATATGAACTGCACAAATAACAAATTTCTAATTAAATTTTTAGAAAATTACCATAATTTAAAAATACATTAAAAACCCTTACTTAATCTAATCCAAAAATCTTCACCTCTTGCAAATATTACATATGATGTCAGTAACTTTTTAAATTTTATCCTTAACCAAGATGTTAAAATTATTTAGAGCAGGGTCTGTCTTACTATTACTGGTTTATACAGTGCAAAGTACTACAGATGTATTATAATGTCAATAGGTCTTAAGAATATGAATGCTCAAGCTTTATATACATATGGATTTTTTCTGTCCCCTTTTGGTTTGTATTTCTAGCTAAAAAATTAACATGCTTTGGAAAAATGGCAGGAGATAAGAACAGACAATGGACTAAACTCTGCTTGTGCCAGTCTTGCATTTTTTATCTTATTTCCCCCCAGAGAACAGTAAGGATGATTCACCAAGGACAAGTCAGTATAATCAGAGAAAGTACCAGCTGTAAATAGCTATACATATAAACATACACATCTATCTGCCTTTATTTGTGAGTTTTTCTCCTCCAAATTTGCAGAGTTAAGGAAAACAGTCAGAAATGTTTCAGAGTAACACTCACATATTTTCCATTACTAGAGCTGTGAAAATATGTTGACAAAAATATTTTAGGAAACGAAGAACATTCCTCTTAAAGTACCTCTCCTGTGGAAATTTCTATATGGATGGGAAGTAAGTGTTTTCTGATGAAAAATGCAAACTTACATTTCACTAAAATGTTTTTAAAATAGGGGAGTTTCAATTTTATGCAATAAATTTCAAGCATTTCAAATGGAAAATGCTTTTTTCAAATTTTAGCATGGTATCTTTTATGTTTTTATACACAATTTTGGCTCCAAAGTGGTCTTGTACTTTATCATAGGTACCTGACCTAAAGGAGCTATGTGATTGAAGTTAAATAAACAAAAGCTATTTTATCAAAGTTATTCAGTGATGACCTGTATCCTACTATCGTGTGTGAAAAATATCTGTGAATTTTTAAATAGCAACATGAATAAAACAAAAAATGTCTTCTTTCAGTCACATCTATGAGCTTGTACCTGAAGCAGAAATCATTGCACACCTGGTCTTGCAGCTCATATTCTCAAGAGTGATCCCATGAGTGTAAATAAAAACTACAGGATTAGCACCCATCTGAGGGGAAGGAATGTTTATGATGAGCTGTGCTGTGGCCACTCAGAGCAACAATTAAACCTCTGCTGGTTATGATGGCGCTTTCCATTGCCTTCCTTTGCAATACTCAAAACCCTATTCCCACTGTACTTATATTTCAGTCATCATTTGCTAGTTACATGGCTACACTTTCAAGTGTCCTCTTCTTTCATCAGCTAAAATCAGCAAGGGAAGGGATGTCTCAAGATGTCTTAAAGCACAGCCCTCTTAGCACCCATCTTGTTATATTTTAGACATTTGAATGAAGGATGGTGTTGTTTATGAGAGCATGCAGGCAGCTAAAATGGAAAAAGAAGGAGAAGATGGATGTGCCAGTCCACCACAGCCAGCTGCACGAGGTAGACTTAAGCACCTGCTTCTTTCTGCTTAGCAAAAGCCGCTGTGGTACCTAGGAAGCACAAAGGGCTTTTCCTTGGGAAAAACATGTGTGAAAAGTGCCAAAGAAGACAAGAATCATTCTTCAGAATTGTATCTTTCCTTCCAAGGAGATGGCAGGTAGACTTCTGAGACTGCTTTCTTGATCTCTCTCCCTCATGACAAATGAAAAAACAGAAAAGGAAGAAAACACAAGAGAACAAGACAGATACTTCCCTAGTGATATGTACAGTTCCTCCTTCCATAAATTTATAATGACAAGGCTGACACAATTTGTATTGTATGGCATGTGTAACAAAATCCTCTATAAGCACCTCTGATGCTTTGCTACTGAAAGACTCATTTAAACCTTAAAATGTATCTGAATATGGAAAGGCATGTTTTATGTCAGTAGAAGTAAATATATACATGAGCTAAATACATAAATGAGGTCCTCTACTGAGGGAAAATAAATATCAGCTCTCACCTGGTGGGGACTTTCTGTAATTACAAGGTTGTAATTAAGATTTTATGGTATTTGGTCTATAGCAGTTTTCTCTGTTATTGGAGAAGTCATCAGTGATAGCACTGAGAGTGAAGGCCACCCTACCTGAGCTGTGTACAATCCCATTCGCCTTTTAAAGCCTCAAGGCTGCCCATGGCATGGATGATTTTCTGATTTCAACTTCTCTTAATTTATTCAATATCTGTGCCTCACTAGCTCTGAAGTCAGCTGTGATAGTGGATACAACAAGGAGTTTCAGCTGGCACATCTCCCAGTGTTCTTGCCTGTAAAGTGTTCATTTAATGCCTCAGCTCTTTCACCACCCTCTGTGACTCCAGTTCCCACTCAATCTTGCAATGCTGCAACTTCTTTGGCTGCTCACTCACTCTCACAAGAACACCAGAAACCTTTTCAACCTCCTGCTTTTTCTGCCCATCTATTAAAATGACTTTCTTGCTGGAGCAGCTGTACATTTTCAAAGTTTATGTCAATGCAGATGACAGCCTTTTGCTGAATCTCTTGTGGGAATCATGGATCAGTACATTGTGTGGATCTGGGAAAAAACACTTCAAATCAACACCTGAGTTTTTCAGTGATTTACGTGACTTAAGTGACTTAAGTGTTTCCTAGTAGTTTACAAGGTATTATGAAAGACAAAAAATGCTGTCAAACTCTTCCAAAACCTCAATAAAAATGTGTCTGTGCTGTTCATCTGAAAACACAATCATCTATGCTCTATTTTAAAATTCCTTTTCTGTGTAGTACTAAATAAGTGGAAAAACACAGGACTGCATGAGTATGAAGCTGATATGAGCAAATGGCAGTGGATCACTGGCTCTTCTCTAAGGCAGTTGCTATAACATATATTATTCACCAGACCCCAGTTCTACATCAGAAAACAACCTTTCTCAGAAGAATCACTGATCCTTTCATAAGTTTTTTCTATAATTCAGAAGACTTGTGGGTTTGGGCAGAAGATAAAAATTAACCTCTGTCCAGCTTAAATAGAGATTTTATACAGAATATAAGCATAAAGAAGAATTTGGTACAGAAGATTTTGTTCAGAATGAACATATCACAGTGATGTACAAGGCAGAATTTCTATTGCAATAAGACAAGAGATTAATATCCATGAGGAGAATAATTACTACCCATGCAACTCTGGAGATAAATTATCAGCAGCAATTGCCTCAAAGGAATGTAACTTGCACATGGCTTTAGACTCAGTGTAGCCAAGGATTCCCAGACTTTTGACATTGCAGCAGTCACACTTAAAAGCACATTAAACATCAGCTGTTGTTGCTGGTGTCTCTCTCAGTTCCATCTAGCTCATCAAATTTAGCCTTGTGTTTAAAGAGCTTGCTTATGCCCCACAGGGATCCTGCCCACCAGGTATCACTCACAGCATCTGAGGATGTTAATAACACACTTGTGGTCCTTTCCATAATTTCATGCATGTTTCTTCTCTCCTCTTGGAGAGAAAAAAATTAT